GGGTTTCACATCCCGGAAAAAGCCCCTGCTACCAATTTTTAAAGTGATAAGTTCAAGAAATTCGACTTTTATTTTTCAACTCTACCACCATGTATCTCGGAAATGAAGTAATTTGTGGGTGAGGGAAATGCTGAGATTTTGTACAGACCATTTAAGGGCACACTGTAGATACTTCCACGAGAAATGTTCAGAAATCTCGTCTATCCATCTTTTACTTTCACTTTAACAAAACCCTTTTGTTTATAGAACGGCGAGGCTAATTATATAGCTTCTCATAGATGTTCAAAGACGAATTGATAGGTATGTCATATAACAGTTTGCTAATTATTATGGTTATGGATTTGGAGGAAATAATATGAAAATTTCACACTCAATTGAAAAAATAATGATTCAATCATTATTTTTTCAATTGAGTGTTTGCACTCTTATTTCTATCAAGAGATATTTAGGTCTTGAATGGATCATGGCGCAATGCCAAATAATTTGATGAGACGTGTATTGCAGGATTCCCAGAAAATATCACCAGTCGATAGATTGTGGAGATTGGAAATAAACAAATGGAACATCAATCACTTGCTAGTCAGTATTTGAAATTTTGGAGTTTCCAAAGACAATGATTGTTCTTGAAAGTAATTCTTGTCTATAGGTATCTTGTCAAATGTGTATGAGACTTCATTATGAAACAATAATTTATTATAGCAAGATTTACATTCAGGTGGTGCACCAATGGTATCCAGGGAAATGGATGATGATTCTTGAAACAACGAATTCGCATACCAATAAGAACAAGAGTACCGTTTACACTCATGATTTGTTGATGGAAGCAACACATGCATAACTTTCAATGAAATTCGAGCTGAAATTGCAGTTTGGGAAACCAATCAACATGGTGCAATTCAACGTCAATAATCTTTGGCATTCCTTGTCGACGAAAGTTTTTTCAGAAACCTATAGAATCTAGGAGTTCCGAAAAATTCCAATACCTCTCCTCTCCTTCCTTATCACATAATCGGTCATGATGTATTATACTCTCAGGATACCAATCGCCTGATATAGTTTGTAAGCAATAAAAATTTCAACACACTAGTATGTATTAACTGATGTATCAAACTTTGCTGTCACTAACAATAATTGCATTTCCAATTATATTTCCAATATACATATAACTACAACTAATCTTGCAATGATAAATGAGCCCTTGTTATCAAACTGTAAGTTCAAGAATACCTCTCCTCTCTCTTGTTCACCGCTACTCTAGAACTTACCTTAGCAACAATTTCAGAACATCCTTTCATTCGATTCGAAAGATTAAAGATACCTCGTCAACAAGGCAAACATCTCTACCAAGTATTCGTTAGTGACAATGAACCACAGGACAAAGAAAAAACAAAATGGTGGGGATGGAATATAAAAAAAAGCGAGATGATAACATTCGCCATGTGATTCATGATTTTTTTTGTAGTACTTTATATATTTGATAGCAAAGACCGAAGATTGAACTCTCTCTGAGGAAATTTTGAGTTCTTGCCATTGTCATAATATGAATTTCCTTTGGTGCGAGAGATGAAAAGCAACCTCCCCAACCACCTACTGAGTATTTATTAGTCACCAGATGACAAGACGAGCAGGATAGCGTGATAAGAGATAATTCTTATCAATTCGGAACATAAACATTGAATTGAGTAGTATAAACTAGAATATTACTTCGGAAGGTCGATGAAATACTTATCGTGATAGTATGTTGAACAACACCAATATTATGAAGCTTCAGTCCTAAGCAATCTTCCTCTATCTCAGACTTGAGTTTTTGCTTTCACACAACTACTTTTGCAGCTTGCAGCAGGCAGGGTTATGATTTATAGGTTTGAGTGAGGAGAAGGTGAAATAACTCACCTTCACAAAAAATCTAGAGCCCGAGTTTTCGAAACAGGTACCAGAAGTCTTCGTCCGAGAAGCGCCAAACTAAAAGGAAGCCAGAATGAAAGCCCTCACAAATGGCGCCCGAGCAGGGACTTTTCTGTCACTGACAAGCCAAATCCTTGATTCTGATTGGTTGAACTCTCCAACCTTGCCAGGACTTCGAAAATCTCCTGGATTTAGGCCTCGAAAGCACATAATAATAATAATAATAATTATAATAATAATAATTATAATAATAATAATAAACGTATTCATTACTTCTGAATAGAAAATAATATATAAAGTATGGGTGGATAATAATTTTCAGAAACAAAGGGCAAAGTTCAACTCAGTTTCTAGATGACTCCGTCCACTGAATTGCTTTACCACTTAACCCTCAAATACCTCTACAATTCAACATATAGGAACAACAAGGGAAGAAATTAGAAAAAGTGAAAAAATAGTATCATATGGATGATAACTGATACACAAATGGGAACATAATAGGAAGTCTGAATGTTGTTATTGATTTGAATTAAACAGATGCGAAAATATATTCGTTTTGAATTTATGAAACACTGCTGATTTCAATTAATGTGGAATATTATTGTAAATATGGCATATTTGATAACTGAAGCATCTTCGGAAAAGTTCTGATTTGAAAGAGGGAAGAGACAGTACTCCTCTAAACCTAATATTCACATTGTGAACGTCCGTACGGAAAACAATTGTTTTATGGAGATAGGAAGGTTTTTTATGATGATAATTCTATGAAAGAGGTTAGCGGTCTGATGAAGTCTCCTGTTTTCCATAGTCAGCCAACCAGCATCTCTCATCTTATGAGAGATTCTCTGGCCTCTTTTCATTCCATACATCAATCTCAAGCATCAATTCTGGAGCTTCTGTATCTTATTTTTGTAAAGTTTTGTTAAATGTGGTCCATAGACACAATTGGCATAATTGAAATGTGATAAAACGAGAGTTTCACACATAATAACTCTCAATTTAAAAGGAAGAACATGCCTAACACCATAAATAGTTTTCAGCGGAGAATATGCACGTCGCAAAAGATTATCAACATTCTATTCAAATCTAAGAGTATGATCAAGGATGACCCCAAGATTTTTAGCTTCCTCTACCAGCTGAATTGGTTCACCATTTATTGATATATTTACGGATTCTATTACTGCAGATCGTTTTGTCCTGGGTCCAAACAGTAACACATTAGACTTACGAGAGTTTAACAGTAGACAATGGTCTGTGGCAGTTTTAACAAACTCATTCAGATTTTTATTGATTATTTCACAGGAAACTTCTACACTTTGAGGAGGAAAGCTGTAATAAACTTGGGTATCATCTGCGTAAAAGTGCACTTTACATTCATTCATATTATTGATGAGATTTGAAGTGTAGATTGCAAATAGAATTGATCCCAAAATTGACCCTCGTGGTACTCCCCGCTGAAGAGGAAGTAGAGATGAGAGCACCTCACCAATTGCAACTCTTCGAGTTCTATTATTAGGGTAATTTCTAATCAATGTTATAGCTGCAGCTGACAGGCCAATGTAATGTAATATGGATATCAACAACTCATGATTCATAGTATCAATGTCACCTTAAAATCACGAACACGCGAAACAAATTCCATATCACCCCAAATAATGGGCACAAGGAAAGAATCTACTACCTCTGCTCGGAAATATTCAAAAACAAGAAAGTTATGATCAGGTTAACATCCATAATCTCAAAAGAAAGGTAATTTATCTAAATACAGCGAAGGAATGAAAATGTACAGATTCATCAGGTTTTTGGGTACCGAGCTTTCGAACAGGGAAAATTCAAATAGAATAAGTTTCAGGTAATTAATAAAATATCAAATCCACTCTAGTATTGGAGCTGACTCAAAAATACTCAATTGCAACATATATTAATGTTTGCTGGGTGATTTCCGATTTCTTATCTATCTTTGATGGCAAAGGCTGAAGTTTGAATTCATTCCTGAAGAATGATAGTTGTTGTGGAGACAATATTCTGGCCATTTGTCATAATAGTAATTTACATTGGAGCGACCCAAGAGATAAAATAAACAAATTTCGTGAACCACCTATCGAATATTCATTAGTTACCATCAGATGATAGGAGAAACGAAGGTGGCGGTGGGAGATAAATGAAAAATTCTTCTCTGAGAATATCCAAACTTCGGAGGACGACGAAATACTTATCGGGACAGTATGTTGAACAATACCAAAACTATGAAGTTCCAGCCGTAAGCAACCTACCTCCACCCCAGACCCAAGTCTTTGCTTCCACATAACTACTGCTGCAGCTTGCAGCAGACTGGGTTATGATTCATAGCTACCGAGTTATCCAAAACAGGTAGGTAGAAGTCTTCGTCCAAGAAGCGCCAAAGTAAAGGCCACCAAAATAAAGGCCCTCACAAATGGCGCTCGAGCAGGGACTTTTCTGTTATTGACAAGCCGGATCCTCGATTCTGACTGGTTGAACTCTGAAACCTTGTCATTACTGTGGGGGTCTCCTAGATTCACTTAACCTCAACCTTGAACTCATAAACACGCGAAAAAACCTTTCGAATGGGCACAGGGAAAGAATCTACTACCTTTGCTCGAAAATATTCAATAACAAGAAAGTTATAATCAGGCAATTACCATAATTACGGAAGGAAGGTAATGCATCTGAATACAGCAAAGAGATGAAAAATGTCCAGATTCATCAGGTTTTTGGATTACGAACTTTCGAACAGGTGAAATTTAAATAGAAAGTTACAGGTAGGTACTCTATTAATATTCGAGTATTGAAGTTGACTCAAAAATACTTAATTACAACATGTATTAATGTTTGCTGGGTGATTTCCAATTCCTTGTAGTACTTTCTATCTTCGATGGCAAAGGCTGAAGATTGAACTCATTCCTGAAGAATCAGAGTTCTGGAGCGATTCCCATTGGTGCGATCCAAAAGATGAGAAAAAAAATCGTCAACCTACCGAGTATTCATTAGTCACCATCAGATGACAGGACATACAGGATGGTGGGGGTGGGAGATGAATAACGCGCGCTTATCCAGAACCCGTAGAAGGGGGGATCCAGGGGATGACGCTAGCGGGGAAATCGTCACGCTCTAGTTTAGATGGCGGAGTAGCGTTTGATCATCTTCAGTCAGTGCTTTAGAGGCCACTAAGCAAATCCTAGGATAGACGAACGACGCTCGACCACGCGTTAACGGCGGGACGATCGAAATACAACACGCGGTATATCTGGAAGTGTGTGCGGTAGCGTGAGGTGATCTTGAAAACTTCAGTTACCAGTATATCTAACAAGAAGTAAGTGCTTGTGAGTGTTCTTGTGGTGCGGACATGTGCGATGTGGAATCTGCCCTTTGGAATACCTTCTGAATCGGAAAGGGTATACAGGGTGTGCCGGTTGGGCTGGTCACCGTGCATGGGAATGTCGAAAATTGTTAAAGCTACTTAGTTGGTTGAATAGAGATGAAGTTGCGTAACAAGTGCTAAAAAATGCCATGGATATCAGCCGACGAACTGTTTTAATTTTCTTGAATCTTGATGCATGTTTTCGCGTAGTTTTTACTCCTTTGTCGTTCGTTATCTTTCTGAGGAAAAGAATATTTTGTGGTGCTATGGCCGACTTGTTTCCTAGACCTAGATTCTTGATGGAATAACATTAGAGGAGTTGTGGTGTACAGAAATGGTTTGATTTCATTCTACCTACTTTGAAATTCAGGATTCATGTAAACAAAATAAAGACAACATCAGTTATCTGAATGCCGGTTTATCATATATGCATTTCGATTTCTTATATTATATTATGCCTCTTTGGCCAAAAATTAAATCGAATTATCATCAGACTTTCGAAAAATAGTTGTTATTGATGGCTGAATGTAGGATGAGCTCTTATTTTGTAATAAAGGTCGATGCATTAATAGCTCCAAATAATGTAAAATGATTCAAAACGTTTGGCAATGCAATAAGTATATGATAATTCCAACTATTGTGGTCACGAAAATATATCTTAGAAATGGGACCAAGAAACATTTTTTTGCTAATCGGTATACTTGGTACATCCTTATTGAACCACAGCTTTTATGGTTTTCGATATTCCCATATGGTGACCCTGTTCACTGGTATACTGGTCCACCAGCAAATTTTTAGATTTTTCTCGAAATGTTCGATTTAGTGTTGCTCAGGGGTAAAGGCATGTGCTCAACTATTTTCCTATCTATATTTTTCGATATCCTTTAGCGAATGAATTTTGTCATGGATAGGAGAACAATCCAACACTTTCAACGATCATATTTCTGAGTGAACTCCACTTCCCTTGATTCAATGAATCGAATTAAAACCCTTGCGATTCCAAACTAACTCAATAAAATATAAATTTTTGACCTACAGGATATTGAGTAGAACTCGACAAAATTGAAATTTTTTCCACCTAAAACATTTTCAAATTTTAATAAAAGGACAATTTAATCTTGTATGAGGAAAACAAAATTTGAGACTACAAACTGATACTTATTTCAGTTGATTTAGAAAAATACCCCTAGATATCAGTTTAGCTAAATAATCTCAGTGACTCATTTAGTGAATTACCAGAATAAATTATTCATTGTTCTTTGGTTAATTCGAAAAACAAACCAGATTAGGTCGCATATTATTGATAAAATTTGTCAAAATATCAATCGAGGCCACCCTTGGAGAAAGTATGCAGTCATTGCGTACTGTAAATGATTATACAAATATATAGGGTGTTCTCGAATGAAAGGAATTACAATTATCATCTCATATACTTGTTCACAATTATTTTCAATAGTGATCAAGAAGGCAATGAGTTCAATCTGATGAAAATCAATGAGTTATTCAAAAATTAAAATCACTAACAATGAGAAATTCTAGGATAAGGCAAAGAGAGGAAGGAAATTACTCTACATTTTGAGACAACATATCACTGCATGTACGAGATTTTTCACTAAAAAGCTATTAAAAGGAAGGGTCATGAGTTTATTGAATTTTTGAAATATTCCACACGTTTCAAGAGTCCTTCTTTTCTAACCACTATGGCACCCCTACAAATAAACAATAGATTTTCTAATAAATGTAGCTCTTTTCACAGTGTGTTTTCAGTTATTTTATGAGCTATGAACTTTACAAATTTGTCGTATATTTTATAAATTCTTCTCTGGATATCGAAACAGAAAATCCGTCATATTCAACGAAAAAATTTTTTTTCAGAACGTACGGAAATGAAAAATCTTGCGAAGTTTTTCTGCGAGTAAAATTGGGAACTCATTATTAGGGGAATCATCACAGTGCTTTGGAATTTGTTTTCATTGATGAACTCTTTCCATGAAATTAATCACAAGAACTTCTTTTCACGGCAACTACGAATGTTCAAGCAAGCTTTTCTGAGATTGGAATCCAGTGCAAACAAATGTCTGATGTCTGAAAATCATCGAAAATAGCTCAGATAATGCCCTTTGGCTTCGAAAAATCAATGTCAGATCTGGAAGAAGACAAAACAAAATGCCAGTGATTGGTGTGCCAGATTTGAGGAACTGGGCACCTGGAAAATCAATTCTAAAAACAAACTACGAAGCCTTTTAAACCGAGAATTTTTGCTTGTCATTTCAGAACATCTTATGTCTATTGTTATTTATATACCTGGCAGAGGTTGTTTGGCTTTATACATTATTTCTTCAGAATATTTTTTCAGTTAAATACTAACCCACATACTCATATCATTTTATTTTCTACTTCTTTTTAGTTTGGCAATTTATATATCCTTAATTTCTCAACTATCATTCATTTTCTACTTCCTTATAGTTTGGCTCTCTATAAAAGCGTGTTCATTCAGTTTTTCTATACTGTTTATTAAAATGCTCATCGTTAGCCATATTGGATTCCCAATATCGACAAACAATTTCCGACTCCGAAAACACCCAGATCATGATTACGAAACTCGTCCTTTATATTGGATGCGTCATTAGGAATTTCCCAATTCTGATGGATGAATCATGATTTCCGACCCCGAAAACACCCAGAAACCAATTTTGAACAGAATTTGTTAATAACTATAGAACTCGTCCGCCATATCGGATCTGCCATCTTGAATTTTCAAATTTTGGTGAAAGAATCATAATTACAATACTTACAAAACTAGTTCGCCATATTGAATCCGTTATCTTGGATTCCCTCATTCTGACGAAGGAATCATAATCTCCGACCCAGAAAACCCACAAATACCAATTTTGAATGGAATCGAACCATAGAATACAAAACTCGTCCGCCATATTGTATCCGTCATCTCAAATTTCTAAATTTTGTCCAAGGAATCATAATTTCCGACCCCGCAAAACTTTCAGTCACCAATTTTGAATAAATTCGGATCAAAATTACAAAACTCGTCCGCCATATTGAATCTGCAATCTTGAATCTCCAAATTTTGATGAATTAATCATAATCCCGACGCCGAATACCCCCAGATACCAATTTTGAATAGCATCGGATCATAATTCTAAAACTCGTCCGCCATATTGGATCTGCCACCTTGATGAATTTCCGAATTCTGATGGAAGAATCATAATCCCCGACCCCGGATATCCCCAGATACCAATTTTGAATAGCATCGGATCATAATTACAAAACTCGTCCGCCATATTGGATCCCCATCTTGAATTTCCAAATTTTGACGAAAGAATCATTATCTCCGACCCCGAAAACCCCCATATAGAAATTCTGAATAGCATCTGATCATAATTCCAAAACTCGTATGCAATATATTGGAACTGCCATGAATTTCGTGATTTTGACGAAGGAATCATTATCACCAAAATCCCCCAGATACCAATTTTGAATAGAATCAGATCATAATTACGAAACTCGTCTGCCATATTGGATCCTCAAACTTGAATTTCCAAATTTTGACGAAAAAATCATAATCTCCGACCCCGAAAACCACCAGATACCAATTGGATTCACTAACTTCAATTATCAATCTGAAGAATAGTCTACGACCGATTCTCAGACCTACCAAATATTTTCAAGAAATTTCATACGATTCCTTTAAGCCGTTTCGGAGGAGTTTGACAACGAACATCATGACATGAGAATTTTATATAAGAGATACTCATACCAAATTTTGACGAAAGAATTATAATTTCCGACCCCGAAAATCCCCATATAGAAATTCTGAATAGCATCTGATCATAATTCCAAAACTCGTATGCAATATATTGGAACTGCCATGAATTCCGTGATTTTGACGACGGAATCATTATCACCAAGATCCCCCAGATACCTATTTTGAATAGAATCAGTTCATAATTACGAAACTCGTCTGCCATATTGGATCCCCAAACTTGAATTTCCAAATTTTGACGAATGAATGATAATCTTCGACCCCGAAAACCACCAGATACCGACCGATTCTCAGACCGACCAAATATTTTCAAGAAATTTCATACGATTCGTTTAAGCCGTTTCGGAGGGGTTTAACAACAAACATCATGACATGAGAATTTTATATAAGAGATACTCATATTGTTTTCATCGAGAATGGATTTTCTTTAATTATTTACTAATGAAATGTCAAGCTGTCAAGCAATCAGAAAAAATTAACTAAAAATTGTTCACTGCTAAAATCTCGGGTGAAATATATAAAATATATGATTTGAAATGTGATATAAAATGTGCGGATGTTTATGAACGACCGCATCCTCATAGAAAAAACTAGTACACAACTCGAGTTATAATGAAATCACGCACTCGTGGAATTTATAGGTTATATACTTACTACTCGCGTTCAACAGCAATTCAAACCCAAAGTTCTACTTTTTACAGGTATGTTTATCTACAAAATATTCTGATTGAGATATACATGATGTTCCAAAATTAGAAGTCAATAATAGGTATGCAGGAGGTGAAAATGCGTTTATCAGAAGTTTCACAGGGGTTATTCCTGGAAACGTGACAAATCAAATTCCATGTTTTCAAATGTTCGTGTATGGGGTGTCTACAAATATCGTGTTCGCCATGAATGAGAATATATTTTACAATTTTATCTTGCAGCGATATCTTGTGTTGAAAATAAATAATTGAAGAAATAGTAACATACTGTACAGGATAGCTGGAATTCGAGCCTCATCATTGGTATTCCGTGAACCGTTAGTTAGATTATGAAGAAGTTGCGCAATTTTATGCCTAACAAAATGCCGTTTCGAAACTGGGTAAATTTCGAATAACTTAGGAGATCTACGAAAAACACCAGAATTTACCTTCTTTAATTGTTCTTCGAGTTTCTGGAAAGATTA